GATGGGTCAGGAATTCTGGGGGTCCTGTCAGGGGGCGGGGGTGTGAATATGGGGTGGGGGTGTGGATAAGGGTCGGGGCAGTCAGAGGACAGGTAGAGTTCTAGGGGGGGCAGTTAGGGTGGGGGGTTCTCAGGAGGGAGCAGTCAGGGGACAAGAAGCAGGGAGGCTTAGATAGGGGGTGGAGTCCTAGGGGGCAGTTTGTGGCAGGGGTCCCAGGAGGGGGCAGTCAGGGGACAAGGAGCGGGGGGTGTTGGGAGTTCTGAGGGGGGCAGTCAGAGGGTGGGAAGTGGGAGGGAGTGGATGGGGGAAAGGCAGGGCGGGGGCGGGGCTAGAGCGGGGCTCCCACGCCCCGTCCTCTTTTTTGATTGTGGAAATATGGTAACCCTAATGTTAAAGAAACACCTGTCAAGGATGGTTGAGGTTTATTTGGCCCTGCCTTAGCACAGGGGGCTGGACTTGATGACTTTTCGAGGTCCCTTCCAGATGCTTATTTTTTTTAAATGAAAAATGCGATTCTTGTTTACATTTTAAAATTCCTCAAAACAGGGCCCTAAGAGCAGAGTCTGGCAGGTATTCTTTATCCGAGGAATAAATGTAAAGTTATGGCTCGCAAGGTTACAGAACCTTTGTACTCTAATTGCCTGAAATAATATATTTCAGGTTAACTTAAAATAAAAAACCCTCCCATCTGACTCTTATCCTCTCTTTTCTTCTCACCTCTGTGTGTCTCACCTTCTGTGTCTCTCCTCCTTTTGTCATTCCTTCTCAGTTTAACAATGTAAAGTTTAAAAATATTTACATTACAAAAACATACAGATGTTTCATTATAAGCCTATTATAGGCTTAGATGTACTAGAAAGGATTTGCAGTTACAAAAGCCTGCAGTGCACTTGATTACATGGATCCCTATTGTGCCAGAGGCTTTGGTAAATAGAAATCTTTTATTCTGCAGGAGTAATTGTTAGAAGGAATGCCTCTAAATATTTTTTTTTTGATATTGCAGCGGATTTGGAGACACATAACCAGGAAAGAGGCATAAGCTTATTTAACAGAGAAGCTTTTAGTAAGTGAATTAACATACGTTCCAGCTCCATTTCTGGAATTATAATGTAGTCCAAGGAGACATTATAATGAAATACATTTATAAACCACCTGTCAAGGAGCATCTCTATGTGGACTCAATAAAATGAGTACAATGCACATGGGGCCTGGTTTTCAACAGAGCTCAGCACCTAATAGCTCCCATTTAGGCACTTAAATGAAGTGGCCAGATTTCCAAAAATGCTCAGCTCAAACATCAGAAATAACAAGCCAACAAGCCCCAAGAGATCACCAACCAGAGCTAAAGGGTCTGGCAGTAAGGTGAATCCAAGAGCTCTTGGCAAACCTTTCAACAGACAAAATGGAATAATTCCCAATTAGTACAAAGAATGGGGAAGGAAATGAGATGCATCTGTGTTTACGTACTGCACACTCTGGCAGGGAAGTGCTGTGTGTTGGGTTGTATTCTTTCTCTGTGTGTGTATTGTGGCTCTCTGTGTGCCTGCTGCCCATTCTGGCAAGGAGGTGTCATGCACAGTGTAGGGACGTATATATGTTTGCACTGCACATTGGCAAGTAGATGTGCGTGGCTGTGTGTGCTGCATACTCTGACAAGGGGTGCGTAGTGCACATTGTTGCTCACTGTGTCTGCTTCCAACTCAGATAGTGAGGTATGTGCCTGTGTGTGCTGCACACTCTCTCAAGGGTAAGTTGTGTGTTTTGGCTCAGTGTGAGGGTATATATGTATGTATGTGTTTCACACTGATAGAAGAGATAGGTGTGCCGTGGCTCTGGATGGGCTGTGGTTGTGTTGTAGTCCTTGCCACCTCCAAGAAGCAGAAAAACCGGCCTCCTCCCCCACTAACAAGAGGATCTTAGTGTTGACTGTAAGTAACTATTACTGAAATGTTGTTTTGACCATTTTAACACACACACACACACACACACACACACACACACACACACACACACACACACACACACACACACACA